TGCTCTCCAAACATTTTTTGTTCTTCAGAATTATGCAAAGAATCATCTTATTTTGATTATCCAACCAAAACTCATGTTAAACATTTTCTTTGCCTGTTTTGACATGAGAAGATAATAGAACCTGTTTATAATTGCCTCTGACTTTCTTGAAAGAAAATCTAGTAGTATTAATATTCAAAAAGCTATTTGTGGCATTGACAAATGCAAAAGCATTAGTCAGTATCTGTAGCTGTCCAGAAAAATAGCTCCCTCTGTGAAGAAAACCGAGCCTTACCTATAAAAATATTGGATACTATGTCACATGAAATTATGACAGCTAGAGTATACAGACCTAATGGCCTTCATACTGTTAGCATATACTTGGAAGGGAGTATCCTGCAGTAATACAACTTTCTGAGAATAACCCCTGACCCTCCTCAGGAGCATGATCGAAGGCAGACAGTACACGGGGAGGATCCATCATGTGCTTAGGATCAAAGTGTCTTTCGAAAAGTGCACTGCCGTTCCAGACACTGAGGCCTGGATTTCTAATCCCTTTATTGGAGGCAGTCACTGATACTACTAACCTGTGAAATCTGCCTTTGCTGGAATTCTGCCACCTTAATTATGCCTTTATTTTCTGATTATGTTACCTCTACAGCATAGGTACTGTGAAGTATAGATGGATCTGGCCAGTTGATAGAAGCCATTCATAACATGTGTGCTGTACAGACACACAGATTAAGGATAGTGATTCTGAATGCTCTTTGGGTTTTTTGTGTAATGGATTATAGTATCTATATTATCAGGGAATGTGAATGCTTACATTCAGATTACTTTCATAATAAGGCTATTTTGTTCACTGTTCTGGTACAAATCTGAGTGGTCTTCTGTTCCTGCAAGGGAAGGAAAAGGAATTATGTATTCATATGCTTGCTAGACCTTCAAAGTAGCTTACATATTAAATTCTCTTTTTAGAAACTGAGGCAATTATATGTTAAGATAGTTTTAAATTTTTTTTAATTCTATTTTAAGTTCTCATACAAAGTATTCATTAGTAATAACTCTGCACCCTAGTTCAAAATGAGATAAATTATATTAATTAAAAATGCAAAAAGGCAGATCAGTCTATGCAGTCCATTCCCAAAATAATGATCTTGTAGTTAATCAGTATATTGTAACTATAAATACTTATGTATTTATTTCCTGGATTTACCACCAACTTTGCATGACTTGGAATAGATCATGTAAGCTAGAATTTTTTAGATGAAACTGCAGATAAAATGTACTTAAAGCTCATTGCAGTTAATTATGATTGTGAGCATCTTTCAGCTCTGTCAGAAAGAACTAAAATCAGTCTTTAAACGTGTGTTCTTTAGCCTCTTGTCTATAATTTTGGCATAGAATTACATCTTCGTGTTACAGAGACTACTGAGAGAAGAATGAACAGAATAATGTGTATGTGTTTGACTTTTCCATATTTGCTTACTTTTTAAGATAAATATTCCCTAAAGGGATATGATTGGAAGAGGGTGTGTGCAGCAGGAGTTGAAAATGAAGCCTTTTAAAGTATTTCTGATTGGACACATAAAAACTGGAGGCGCTCAGTATCACCACTTGCTCTTGAAAATCTTAGCCAAGATTTTTTCATTTTTCCCAGAAGAGCTATGGCCAGGATGGCTGAGGCTTGAAAGCTGTGTATTTACATAAGCACAAGTTACAAATCTGTGGTTTTTAGAGACGTTTGAATTTCACCGCTTTACACTCGCAGTATGTTATAAGTTGCTGTGAGTTGTTCGCAGATTGTGAACGCGCAGTCTACAGAGGATTACCCCTCACTTTGCCTCCTTCTTTTTAGGAAAAGTAGTTTTTTTTCATACGTGTCAGTTTTTAATATTCTTGTTTGTAGTTATGGATTGATCACTGCCAGAAATTTGTGGCTATTCACTGGCTAGGAATTGCTTCATTTTTATGTACTGCCTCCTTAACGGAGGCAATAACCGATGAACCAGAAAGGCTGACTTTTTTTAATGTGATATAGAAGTTTTCTGATAAGAGTTCTGGTGACTTTTATTGCTGAGGGGTACTTGCATCCCTTTAGGAGGGAAAAAAATGTCCCTTTGCGCACTCCCACCTACCCTACATTCCTGTGCACACAGACATGTGCAGTCACTCCTGGAGTGCAGAACTCTCTGCTCCTGGAAGAGTTTCCCATAGTTTGCAGTGGCATTTGCCTAATGATAGATGCTGTTTCAATTGATTCTGGAAAGCAGACTCATTCCCCTGCCCAACCACTGGTAACTGTTTGCTTTGTGGTTGCTGTATTAGTCGAGAGCAGAGTGGCAGCCCATGTCAGATGTCTCCTGCTTGTCAAGTGGCAGTTGAGCGATGGCTGCGTTTATGTCCCTTCTGCATCCCAAATCACTCATTCCTTGAGGTAGAGATTGAGGTCTGACTAGACAGAAGTATACGGGCTGGACCTGTCCAGGTTTGTTAGCGAGCCCTGAATCCAACCATGGTCTGTGTTGGTTTGGGAGTGCTCCCAAGGCAGTAGCAGCTGAGCAAGCTTGGGTGTGTGCCTTGGGCTGTGCCTCCACTCACACAGCTCCCTCCAATAGAGACCGTATGTCAGGCACCGTGGAGTCTGGGGGACTCTGTGGGGGTTAGAACTAGAGGGGACTCATGGGGTGTCAGGGTAGGACTCATTCCACCTCCCCAACCAGGGAACAGGGCATTGGCACATCCCTGCCTACCCTGGAGCTCCTCTGAGATGCTGAGCTGCTCTTTTGGGTATAGAGAGGGAGGCAGACTTGTTTATCTCACATGCAGCAAATGTATTTGCAGGGGACTAAATGTATTAGTGCTGGGGACTGGAGAAGCACCTCTGACCCTCAGGAGTACCTCTGAGGCACTCTTGTTTTTGCCCAAGGAGAGGATAGGGATCACTGCTTTTGTGGTCAGAGCAAGCATATATTTGCAAAAAAAGCCTTTGAAGACCTGTGTTGGATTCTCATCAAAGTTAGCCCCTCTCTTGGGTCCAGTCCTTCAAAGGTTGAGAAGCTTGACCCAAGGGTTATGGACACATCCAGGGCAGATTGGGAAGCCAGAGCCAAGCTGGGGTGTAGGAGGGCAGGGAGAGCAGCACAAAATGCTTTGGATTTTTTGTTTTGTTTTGGATATCTGCCAAGCAGTTCGTGGGATGTTCTGTTCTCCTTCCAAGTCAGGTACCTGAATTGCTGAGGCAGATGGTCCTCAGCCTTTTGGTTTGGTGCTAGCTGGAAGGAAGTGCTGCAGAGTACTCTGTGTTGTTGGCCTCTGTCATGGCAGGGAAGAAGAAGGCTACTTGCCCTAGGCATTGCTTGCCTCTCCTGGTGTTTTTGGTGCTAGGACTTGGTAGTGACTGATTTCAAAGCCCTGGGAATGGCTGTGCCTGCAGCAGGGCATTGTTTGTTAATAATATGTGCATGGGACATGTCCTGTGATTACTGATGTTGCTTCAGATAATCCAGGAGACTGAGTCTAAAATACCTGCCCTGCCTCCCAAAAAGACTTTCATTAACTACTGTGAATTCTTCTTCTAGTCTGTAGTTTTAACTGTTTTGTTAAGCTGGAAGCCTCCTGTCTCACAAAAAATCTCCATAAGGAGCTGGTTGTAATATGTAAGTGGGCCACCACTTATGGGGACAACCTTTTTAGCAGGGCCTGTTGTGATAGGACAAGGCTTAATGGTTTTAATCTGAAGAAGGATTGATCTACAGTAGGTATAAGGAAGAAGTTTTTTACCATGAGGGTGATAAAACACTGGAAAAAGTCACCCAGAGAGGTGGTGGATGCCCCATCCCTGGAAACATTCGGTACAGGGCTCTGAGCAACCTGAGCTAGTTGAAGATGTCCCTGCTCATTGCAGGAGTTTGGACTAGATGACCTTTAGAGATCCCTTCTGACTCAAACTATTCCGTGATTCTATAAAAATATAAAGTCTTGTTTTAATATCTGCAGCTTCTTTGAGCGTGTATTTTTTTTGAGTTATTAGTTCAAATGAATCCTGTCTTACTTTATTTGCTTACTGCCCTTTTAAAGTCTAGTTGGGCTGTGCTGTATTTATTCAATGCAATGGATGATTTGGAAACAGCTTTTAAACCAAGTTTCAGAATTCAAAATCTCTTATTTTATGAAGGTATTTTAACGGTAAGATGGTTCCATCTTTGTATTCCTAAAAACATATAGATAAACCTGAATCCAAATGAAACTTACCCGAAATAGGTTGTTACACAGCTGTTAGTAAAACTAGTTATATGATGGTGAGAAACGTGATAAGGTGTATGTATTGGAGGTTGCTGGTAGCTTCACACGCACAAAGTTTTAAGTGTTGCAAATCAGCCTGCCCTTGATTTGTCAGGGCTGAAAAGAATAGTATTTAGTTTTTAATGTCTAAGACTCTCTGGTGCTGAGTACTGCCTGAGGGGACGTGTGGGTTGCTAGTGTTCTCAGCAGAGATTTGTCACTCCAGAGGATTTTTATCGTAGAAGAGTGAACATTGAAGGTTTGATTCAGGACTTTTTTTTTTGGTCATTTTGCAGAGAGAAGTTCCCAACAAAAAAAAATATCTTTAAAAATGGTAACTAAAAATTAGTGAAAGTTAATAATTAATGGCTTGTAGCTGATTTATTAATGCCCTCATTTTTCTATGTAATGAAAATTTTAAACTGTCTTGTATGTTAACTATAAAGAAAAAAAAACAAAAAGTGAGATTGATCTTAATTTAAAATTACTTTGAACATACAGAATTGCAGAGTTTTATCCATAAGATACTAAAGTTTGTTTGCAGAGTTCTGGTTTAGGGATTATTTTATATAATAACGAGAAGGAAAATTTGGGCTGGCAAAATTTTCAAAGCTTTTGTTAAAGCCCCTAACTGCTTCTGGTATGAAAGTCAGCTAAGCAGTCTTGTGTTGTTGTTTCCCCCAGGATATCTTTTATGCTTTCTTTTTTTTTTTCTTCCTTCCCTTTGGAAATCCAAGTGTTTATTTGCATGCAAGGTAGGTGAATTCTTTTATCTATTTGTGTATCGTAAACCAAAGCAATTAGCATACTGCAGTTACAGTACACTTAAAAACCAAAACAATCCTTCAAAACCTTCAGTCAATATTATTCCTGGAGGGAACACTCTTAATTAAATTGTATGCAAACGACAACAATAGGCAAAGTTGTTTGTTGTTTAATAATAACTGTTGGGGGTGGGGGGAAGAGTGAAAAAGTAAGTGTAGCAGAGAGCTTCGCATGCCATTAACCCAAGGATAGAAATGAGGTCAGCCTTTGAAGGGACGGACAACACACTTATCTGCCAACATTGGAAAGTCCCAAAAGATTAGCTTATTTGCCAGATGTTACTGGGAGTTCATCATTGACACCCTCTGCTTCATGGGCTTCATCTCTCGCCACAGTTGCAGTTGCCTTTTCTGCCCTTTGCAGGCTTCCTGGAGGTCTTCTCCAGTGCATAACGCTTGAATTTTTTCCTTGAAGTAGGTTTTTTTTTGTTTCACAGCAATAGGCATGATGAACCATCTTAACTTGTAAAGTTGATCTGAAGATTCTTTGTTTTTCTTTCATACACCCACAATAATGCTCTTGGCATAGGAACCACTGACATGAAGCACAGTGAGTGCTCCAGCTCTGGGAAACGGGGCTGTGATTGTGAAGGGTTTTGTGGAATACAGGCGACTCACCTCACTTAATACAGTTACCCTTTTTGAGATGAGTGAATATTGGGGCAGACTTTGTGACAGGCTAAGCATTTTCTGTTCTTTTTTATCCGTTTGCCTGGAAAATAATTAGATACAATTTTAAGCAGACCATTCTTACATTATTAGCAACTTTGTACGTAATCAAATATCACACTGAAGTGTTGTGAAGTGTGTAACCCAAAATAATTAGTAGTGAGGGAGAGTGGGTGCTATCAGGTCCATGTTAGTAATGACTGTAAGAGACTGGAATGGTGTTCTCTGCATGTATCTTCTCCTTTAAATCTTTCAAGAATTTGGTAGTAAATATTGATTTCAGCTAATGGTGGTTTTAACTTTGTGCACATGCTGTGCCCCAAGGGACTCTGTCCTATAGAGGGAGAAGCCAAGACTTGCTCATAAAGAACAGAGCAAATATGTTTTTCCTTTAAAATGGTAGATGTTAGTGGTTGTCTCTTGAAGCAAGATTTCTGCCACTGCAGTTGTTTTGCAGTTCCCCCACCTCCCTTTGAGCAGAACAATTTGTGAGATGGACAGTGACCTAAATAAGGACAGATATTATCACCATGTACATGCATCTGATCAAGGAAGTCTGAGTGTTGAAGCTTTTAAAATAATGGAGGGTCCTTTTGTAGCAGACAATTTAAAGAATTTGATCCTTTGAATCTTGCTTTAACATAGTCCATCCTTTTCTTCCCTTCCTCCTTTTCTTTCCTTTCCTCCTTTTCCTGTCTTTCCTCCCTTTCCTCTCTTTCTTCCCTTTCCTCCTTTTCTTCCCATTTCCTCCCTTCCCTTTCCTCCCTTCCCTCACTTCTTCCCATTCCTTCCTTTCCTTCTTCCCCTTTTCTCCCCTTCCTCCCCCTTTTTCCTCCTCTTCTCCCTCCTCTATTTCTCTCCATTCTTCCTTCCTTCCCTCCCTTCCAAGACCTTCAAGTCTAACTTAGTCTCCTAACACGAGCACTTAAATTGAACATCTGATGATAAAGGACAACGACAGTATTTGTTCATGTTGAGATAAACACAGCATTAGATGCTTTTTGACTACCCATAGACATGTGACATTCTTCCTAACATTTGTCATGGTAGGTCCATAGACCCAGATACTGGGTTTACTTCAGTAGGTCTGGATTAGCTGTTGAATTTCCAGCACTGGAAATCAGAAAAACTGCGAATAGGGAAAATGGAGAGGTGCTACAGGAATGGTTTCTGTCTGCTGGTGTGTAAAATGTTGTTTTTGAATAATGCCTTTCCTTTCCCTTACATTGCCACAGCTTGTGCTGCTGCTGCTGCATGTTCTGTTAAGCAAACCTCAGTGCTGTCAGTGAGGTTGCAGTCTGATCTCTCATGTCATTTTAGACTTGTAACTAGGGAGAGCGGGTATTAGAGCTATTCTGCAAATGCCATCAGTGGGGGACAGTTCCAGAGCTACAAACCTGGGCCGCATCCAGGTTATGCTGGCCCTGTTTGGCCAATCACAGAGTGCAAAATAACCATATTATTCTCAAAGTGTTTTTCCAGAGTCGAAGTAATAGCCATCTTGCCCTATAAAGATCTGAGTTCTATAGAATATTTCTGTGCTGAGATAACTTACATGAACTGTTTTCAAAAGTGCTAGGTGTTGTTTTTTTGTATTTTCTGTGTGTGTTTTTGTTTTACTCTCACTCTTCACCTCTATTCTCCTATGTTCATTTTTGTCTTCTGTGGCCTGTGCTTAATAACCCCATGGCCATTTCTGTAAAACACCAAATCCTTTTGCACTATAGCAAGTAAATCCATGATGGGTTTCCTATAGTGAAATGGGGAGTCCAAGAAATGTAACCATTTAGACTCATGCATTACTTCTAGACTTGAAATACAGCTCTAAGCAGTGCAGAGGACAAATCGTGCCCTCTACCAAATACTTGCATGGGTGATATACGGTGTTGAGCTCTCACACTGCTGCTATGTGGAAAGGCAGTAGGTCATCCACTTTCTATTTTGAGTTTCTTTTGCAGAGGTATCCTTTTACTCCCTTCCTCTTCCTCAGCCCGGTCCTCAGTGTTTGCAGTCCTTACTTCTACTGTCTTTCTCTTTTCTATTTCCACTGGCAGCTCCTTGCCCCCAGTCCCTTTGTGGTTCTTCCTCTCCTTACTTCCTCCACTCCTTAATTCTGGAGTTTTACAAACTTCATTCTTGTTCCATTTTGAAATTTCCTGTCTTTGCCCCTTACTTTTTTAGTTATGCCCAGGCAGCTCTGCTCTTTCTTTGGAAGAAAACAGCTCTGCATAAGCAGAAGAAAGCCAGAAGGCAGCTATTTGGCTTTCTTTGATAACAGAAACAGTGAGGTTTAGCAGCCAAATACTGAGTTGGGGGATCAAAAACTCTTCTCTCTCAGCTTATTTGAAGGTAAATGGATATATTTGTAAGAGAGATGTGGGACAAAACCTTAGGACTGCTGGGGAGCCTTCTCAGCACTGGATTCTGTTTAGGCAGGCAATAAGCAAAACAAGTGGCCATTTAAAAAGGAACTGGGGTGTTTGGCAGCACAAAGCAAGAATCCTTTTCTTACTGTTCTCAAACCATCCTGAAGCATGCCAGTGGCCAGCGACTTCACAGATGCCAGCCACAGGGAAAAGACTGAAGGAAGGCTGCTTGCTGTTGAGGCAATTCACACATCAACTACTTTTTGAGAGCCCTCAGCTCTGCCTAAAAATTTATGGGGCTCTCTTCTTTTAAAACAATTGAGTAAAGGCCCAAGCTAAGTGTTTTTCCACATATAAATGTCATAAATGCAATCACAAAAACTTCACTGGAGTACCAGTGAGGGCTCAAGCCCCAGCTCAAATGTGCATCGTATTAAAGTCCTTCTTAGGGACTCCAGACATAAATTGCTTTCCAGCATCCAGAACCATTTGGAAATGCTTTAATCCTGAAACCAGGGGGTTTCTAATGGAAATGCTGACAGACCCGTCATTGTAGCAGCTGAAGCAGGCAGGGTTGTGATAATGAGCCCTGTATGTGTGCATGTGGAAAGCATGATGCAAGTTCAGAAAACAAGCGCTTCCACTGAAAAGCCCATGCTGACGAAAAACACCACGCACCGTTTCAGCACAACGGTACTTAAAATTGACTTTGCTCATGCAAGTATGTATTGCTCAACCATAGGCATTAACCCTGTGTGTATTACACTTCCAAAACCAACAAGTCGTAATAGCATTTCTAATAATACTCTAATTATCTATAAATAACACTGTACTGAATAGCCTCGACTAGCAGTTTAAAATGCTGCATAAACTGATGGGGGTCTTTACTATTCACAAGTGGAGTTTAACCACGTCTCCTCTCACTTTTTAAACATTGTGCCCATGACCCTAAAAAACAGGTGATGCTTCATTTATTGCTCATGTCTCTGCATACTGCTGCTAACACCAGCAACTGTATATTTTGTACTTGTATTTGGAAATCTCAGTGACCTTGGTTACACCAGGCTGAAGAAACCTGTCTTGCAAGCATGTGCCCAGGTGATTAATTTCAATGAACAGGTTACTTGTAAGAGTGTAATTACTCACTTGTGCGAATGGCAGGATGGGTGCATTGACCTGTATTAGACACATTGTAGTATACACCTCCCCATCAGTTCTTTTCCCCTGTTAATCAGAGGCCTGAAAACCCTGCAACATTTAGACAGCTTGAGGTTGAAGGCTGAAATGTCACTTTTAAAAGAGGGTTAAAAAGGTCGCACAGCTGCAAATAATAATAGCCCAATGAAAATCAGATTCTTACTGCAGCCCACTTCAAGAATAACATTGAAACAGGAAACAAGCCTGCTTGATGTTTTTACCAGTATGGCGGTAAGATTACTGCTGAGTTTAAAAAGGAGGAGAGAGAGACAGAAAGGAGCATGCTTTCTTGGTATTAGACGTTAGAACTGTTTTTCTGGTTCAGAAAGGATGATCCCGGGGCTCTACAAAATCTCCTCGAGGAGCCTGAGGACATGGGGTACTTTCCTCTGAATGCTGCTGAGAGGAGATGTACTTTGTTGCTGTGTTCTGAGGGTGGTTTCGTTTCTTTTGTTTGCTTTTTATTTCTTTGTTATGTTCTTGCATTCCTTGCTGTGGGCTTCAGTTTTATTAATTATAGTAAGAGCTCTTTAGAAGAATCTTATTGAAAAATCAAGGAATAGAAGAAAATCTTGGCTTTCTGCAGAACTTACTTGTTTCTCTTCCGTGTGACATGGCTTGGAGAAGTCTTTCTTTTGTGTTTTTATTTACTTCTTTTTCTAATCAGAATACCTTCACTTTTCCTGAGCAGAGTGATATTTGAGGATAATGGCAGGCTACAACAGCATAGCAGATTTCCTCACTTACACGTTCTGCCAATAAGGCTCTTTACATGGTCACAATAGGGCAATAAATGCTGACAGATGTTGTTAACATGTCTATTAAAATTCAGCCCCCTTTTCTGCTGCATAATGCCTATTGTTAATAATATCAGAACTAATGCTGACATATCAATATTAGTGTTTGCTTGTATTTATAATCCTTTGTTTCTTCAAAAAGGTCACAAAGTTGCAATAAGTTAAGCTATTGATAACAGACCGAAAAAATGCAGACCTGAGCAATTTTTTAACTTTACAGTTATGAATTTGTCTGATATTCTTCATGTGCATTAATTGCAGCAGTTATAGGTAGTACTACAAGAGTTCCATGAGTGTAACTTGAATTTTTAAGATCCCAAAGGTTAATAAGCACCCTAATTTAGATGGAAAAGCTGCTGTGATTTATTTTTATTAGGTGAAGTCGAAATGTTGCCATTGGTTGCGTTATTTCCTTCCTTCACCTGCACACAGTGTGGAAAAAGAAGATGTGGAACGTGTGGCCCAGCAACACACGTGAGACGTGAAGAGAAGTGTGTGCCAGAGGCTGTGTGCAGCTGTCTATACCCCAGGCTGAAGGACGGGAGATGCATGCCTGCATCCTGAAAACGATGCCGTGCAAGATGTGCTGTGCACAACCAGAACACCTCTGTTGCTGAAAGCCCCCACCCTGCTGCAAACCCGGGGTGAGACCCTGTGTTGCTTGTGCATCTGTAGCTCTTGCAGGGCTCAGCAGGATTGAGGCATGCAGAAGGTTCACACTCACAGCCCAGACTTTCAGCTGCTTGTTTCTAGTCAACATTTGAGCATAAAGCTGGAATTGCTGCCACACAATAACCAAGCACCAGACAACCTTTCAAAAATTGTAGGCAGCAGACAGCTTCTTTCATTCATTTACTGTTGGAAGACAGTCAATAGTACCGCAGTCTCAACTGCGGTGATAGCATCACATGTGAACACAAATTCTGCGTGGGGCAATTTGTCTTGAGGGCGCTGTTCTACCTGGTAACATGTAATATGGGTTAAGTTTTGCTAGACAGTAGTGCAGGTGATACAGCTATTCTGGATTATTACTTTTTTTAAGTTTAGTGTCTGCAAAGAATGATTCTCATGGGAACAAGCATTTGCTTGTACATTTGTGGAAACAGTTAGATGTTGAATCTGATACCTTTTCCTAGTACTGAGAATAAACACCAAGTTCATGTTTTCCTGGAGTTGATGCTCACGCTCAGAATTCTACTTCTAATCTAGTATATTATTTAGGTGCTTAGCCTGTGCTTATCTATCTAGATAACCTTGAGAATCATTTAATTTTTATCAGAGCATACACTGACAGATTCAGGTACTAAAGCTCAAGCTCAGGGTGAGGAGTCTTAGGCTTGCAATATTCAATAAGAAAACAAACTCCAAATAATTCCTGGTAATGTTTTGAAATCCACTTGGACGCTTGGGACCAGAATTGTTACTATCTTGTTTTCTTTAACTGCGTCTCATCTGTTGTTCTGCTATTGAAAATACCGTTGTCACTGTCCCCTGAGGAGGGGAGAAAGGGGTAACAGAAACCTTTGGCAGTGCTTCAGTTGCAGGAGTAATTGAGATATTAGATAAAGCCTTTCATTATTCACACGTAGCTTTTCATTTTTTTCTTCTTTCTGTGAAAAGGTCTTTAGGAAAGACAACATCCTGGGGTTACATCCCATAAATAAAGGTATATTTAAAAATCAAACTTAGTTGGAGGTTTTGGTTTTGTTTTGGAGGGGGGTTGTTTGTCTAGTTTGTCTGCTGCTTGTTTCTTTCAGACAGGATAGCATAATTTAGAGTATTTTTATGGCTTCATCTCTGAAGTGCTTGTCTCTGCACAGTCTGGAACTGAAATAACTGAAATTAGAAGTAATTTGACACCTTTAGTTATTTTAGTATATGAACATACTCTTTCATTTCTGATTATGAGTATCCTATTTCAGTTTAACATAGCTGTAAGTTAAATCAAAACAGGATATGAATAATCTTAAAGGAGTAAATTAGGTACAATTTTAGTTATTTCAGTTCTAGCCTTCTGTGCATACATGGTTAGTCCTGAGTTAGGGTCTTTCTTGACATCTGATTGTATGTGGTGCAATAAATCACTTGGCTCAGGCCTGATGTTGGTGGAGATGCCCACATCGTGAAGATCAGTTGACGTTTATTATCACCTTTAGGGAGTAGTGTCCTTGTGAAAGTTAAAGGGCAAATAAAAGTAGAAATTCTTCACTTCTGGATGTTTCTTCTATGAGTCTGTGGAGTCAGATAAAAAGTGGGGTTTATTTATGTTACAAGTAGGAAAATATCCTGTCAGGCTAATGTTGTCCACCGGAATGAATTTTAATGAAAAAGAAAATGTTATCATCCAAAAGTTTTGTTTGGTTTTTGTTTGTTTGTTTTTTTCTTTGAGAACTTAGGGCAGTGAAAATAATTGCTGCAAGTACAGGTCTGGCTGATGTTCAGGTTAATGATGTATTTATTGTTTGCAAGGGATGGGAGCAACTCTTCTGAAAAAAGAGCTTTCTGTCAAGTGTGTCCTGATAATAGGAAGCAATGAATTGTGTTTTTAAAAATTACAGTGGAGTTGTGTAACTTTAGCAGCTGTCCTTCTGCAGATTTTTGTAGTTTTGAAATCACAATCTGCTTCTCCATAAAGATATTTCTCTTTAGTTCATGAAAAAATTATACAAACACCACCTGGGTATTTTTCTAAGTGGGGCTGTGGGGAGGTTGAATTTTAAGGGATTTCAGGTAATCTGAAAGCAGAAGTCACATGTAGTGCTTTAAGGTGTGTCAGCCACTACATTCTAGCTGGTAATAACAGTTGCACCAAAGGGCTCAAAACATTTCCAAAACGAATGACTTATTTATTTTACATCCTAGAATGTTACTAAAAAAAATTATTAGTGTTTTTTTTCTGGTCAGGGACACTGCTCTAATATTGACCCAAATTCAGCTGTGTGTTCTGAGGGTGAATGTTTCATCCTTTGGTTTTATTCAAGACTCAGGAACTTTCTCCCAGGGTTTAGTTGAAGGTTACAGGAGTGGAACTGCTATGTGGAAGTTCAGTTTTAGACAAAACTTCACTTCTCAAGCTCCTGAGGATCTAGCTGACCTTTTAAAGGATGGGGATGCACAATTACCTTGTGTGTATAGAGAGATGTATGTAATGTATTTAAGTTATTAATATCATACAGTATGGATTCAGAACTTCAATAAGTGGGTTTTTTTCTCAGAAGTAATGTAGACGTCTGGTTTTAATGTAGTTCAGCAGGAACTGAAGGAGGAAAGGTAAAAACCTTTAATTCAAGATATTTCTGAGCAGACACGGTCTTATCTAATAACAACACTGAACATATGCTATTTTCTGAGGCAGATTTCTGCTGTGAAAGCTGAACATTTTTTTTCTTTCCTCAAAGTAAATATGTGCTCAGGAAGGTTAATAAGAACTTAGACTACAGGGAGACTGCTGAATATTAGCAAAATTAGTACTCTGAGGATGAAAACTTTGTTCTGGTCTGTTTGTGGAGTTTGAAATAAAAACGTAAACCATGATGACTGTATGTTGCATGCCTGTGTGAAGTTTAGAACTTATATATTCATAGGTTCCCTTTCTTTCCCCCTCCCCCTTTTAACATGTAGATTTATGAGGAATCAAAGATGAACTTGGAGCAGGAGAGGCCTTTTGTCTGCAGTGCCCCAGGCTGCTCACAGGTGAGTGGAGTCAGCGGTGATATTAATTGAGTCCTCAGCACTAGCTCTGGCTTGTATAATGCCTCCTGATATTTTAACATATGTCTAATAATAATATGTGTGTCAGGGTTTTGTTTGGTGGTTTGTTTTTTTTTTTAAGTCCTTCTCCCCCTCAATTCCTTCCTTTCCCACAAGACATTATTACAAAATATTTCAAGCAAATACAACAGCCAGTCAAAACTGAGTCAGTACAAGTGCTTCTAAATCTGCTTCTGTGCCTTCTTTCATCCCCAAGCCTAATGTTTCAAGCCAGGTATTGCAAATTCCTTTAATGACTAGCAAGAGAGAACACACTAGGCAGGGCACATTTGTCTGTCTTCTGCTTAGAGGTATGATGGAATATATTATTCTTGTTATTGGATGTAGTAACCCTCCTGATTTTTTCTGTTTTAAATACTTAAATACACTGATATCTTATTAGCTGCTGCTTATTTATTTATTTATTTTGGATCTTTAAGACATCTTCCTACTAAATATTTTCTACAGAAAACGCAGCCAGTAGATAAATTTTGCCCCAGGATGTACATTTGGGATTCCTGTCCTGTTGACTGGTGGTCTACCCTGTGTCTCTGGGGGTGTAATCTGACCTGTAACATTAGATGTCTAATAAGCTTAAAAAACCTGAAGTGACAAGGATTTCACCTGTTGAGATTTGAATTGGGGTTTATGTGTTTTTTTGGTGATTTTGCAGTGGTGAGGGAAGTTCCCCCGAGCGCATCAATGAGGGAAGTTCCATGTGTGGCACTTTTGACCCTAATTTGGTTTAGTGACAAGAGTTTGTGAGTAAAATCTTCAGGCAAGGGCATCTTTTGGGCTTGTGCCACAGGGCTCCTGTATGCATCTATTTTAAGGGATTTTGTTTGGCACTGTGGGGAGGCTGAATTTTAAGGGATTTCAGGTAATCTGCAAGCAGAAGTCACATGCAGTGCTTTAAGGTGGGTCAGCCACTACACTCTTGCTGGGATTTCTTTCTTCTTCTTTTTTGTTCCTCCAGAGAATTCATTGCCATTATTTATGTTGCTTTGTCTATGGGCTTAGAGAGATTCTCAGAAGGTGTAACGTAAGGCAACTGTCTAAACTATAGTCACAAGCACGGTCACTTAGCCAAGAGTATATTGTGTTGAAAACTTTAGGTCCCTTTAACTCAGTTGCTTTTTCTTTATTTTTGTTGTTGTTGTTGTTATGATCTCCTATGTACTTGTTGATTTAAAAACCTGCTTTAAATTTCCCCCCCCCCTCAAGCCTCAGTGATACAACTTTTGGCCTTTGCTGGTCCCGAAATAATCCTGTTAAAACTATTACAGTAGCAAAGATCTGTGTATGATCATTCTGATGAAGGAAACTTCACAGAACTAGTCTGCTCTTTGAGCCCAAGTGTACAAGTGCTTGAGCATTTATTCAAGCTTATCTCTTTTTCATCTTGTTAAAAAAAAGCTATTTGTTGTAGATGTCTGTTATTGGACTAAAAACAAACTTAGCACACTGATTAGCTTCTTACAAAGAACATCCCTCCACCTTCTCTCCTTGACTAAGGAAAAGAATTTAATTTAGTGTCATAAAGGGTCATAATGAGTTGCTATAAAACTTAGCACCATTGCTTTGCCACTTTGAATCAAGTTAAAGTATCAGACATTTCCAAAATTAAAACCACATTCTGCCTGAATACTTTTGGGTAGGGAAAAGCTGGCTTATTTGATTATTTTTATTACTGTTCATCAGATATAGGTTGCAGAAAGACACAAAAGCAGAAAAATCCAGTAGTGATTTAAGATTTGCCTTATTACTTAGCATTTGCCGTGGGCTAAGAGCACACACAGCAGCAGCTATCACAGATCCTCAGACACGTGGTGACTTGTGAGACTGTGGTAGCTGGAGACCCTTAGAATCCAAAACTTGATCTGCAGTTTTTTCAAGCAAATGCATGACACCTTATGGTTTTCCTTTCCAGAGAGCACGGCAGCAAATATGTTTCTAAATCAAATACCATTATTTGTTACTCATACTCACTTGCATTTTCAAATATTCTGTTTCCTGTGCCATGTGGACACATTTCTAGCTGGATAAATTTCTTTCTCTCTCATTTTTGAAATTCTGTCCAATGCCAAAAGTTTATTAGAGAATTAAATTCTTCTTTTTTTTTTTTTTCTCTTTTTTTCTCTCTCTCTTTCTCTCTCTCTCTCTCTGTGTTTGCCTGACAGCGTTTTCCAACAGAGGATCATCTGATGATTCACAGGCACAAACATGAAATGACTTTGAAGTTTCCTTCAATAAAAACAGATAATATGTTATCAGGTAAGAAGACATGAATTCAAGAGTCAAGATAACTATTCAGATGATGTTGAAAGCATGACTCCTACCAGAAAGCTACTGGCAAATTGCCTCCAAGATTGGTTTTAAAAAGCCCCAGCTCCAGTTAAATAATAAGTAGAGATGGAATAAGCTAGAATGCATATCTTTGAACAAAAGGACATTTACCATTCTTATGCCTTCATACACATTTGGCATGAGAGGGAAAGAAATTGTTGAACCTCAGCCATGCTGGCAGCTCTATCATTGATTCTCGTGTCAACATGCCAGTGAAATATAGGCACTTAAGTGCGTGTCATCTGGGAGCCCAGCAGTCAGTGTGTTAATGAAGTGAATTTTGCTGTTCCTGTAAGACTGGCCATATAAGCTGGACAGGTTCACTTCAGCAACTGGAACAGGCCACACTGTACAAGCCACCTTTATGGTGACTCAAAAACTGTCCACTGTAAACAACCATAACCAGAAAGGCAAACCACTGGGTAATATCCAGTACCTTTTCCCCTGAAGTGCATCTCTCTCTGCACTACCCCCATCATACACAGGGTTTTTTTGGTATTAGGTGCAATTACACCCTTTAGTTTCTTATGTAGTATTTTTCTTACACCGTCTTTTCACACTCTTGTCTGTGTAACTACACATCGATGACTTGCTGGCCTTCACTGAGTGCTGGGTAATGTCAAGCTAGCCTTCGTTTTACCTCTTCTCTCCTCTCCTGTTCCCTTTCCTATTGTTTATTCTATGGGCAATAGTAATGGATTATTTAGAATAATATCACTGAGATTTTTCAGGTTTCAAAGTACTTGCAGAAAAAAACCTCTATGATGCAAATGTGTGTGTGGATGTTCACCAGCATTTGATATTTATATTTTGCAATGGGGTTCTTCAAGATAAATTGTACCATTTTAGGTGCAAATATGTAATGATTAAAGGGTCTCCAGCAGAGTAACTCTTTTATGATAATCATAGTTAGGTAACAATGGTTTGCAAATATTTGATTTAGGATTTTTTTTTTTTTGTTGGGACTCTAGGCACCAGTGATAATGAGACAGACTTTATCCCAAATAGAGTTTATTTTGCTTTTACATTTGAAAATACCATAGTGGACTAAGTTTAGAAAGAAACAGTACACAGCATGTTGAAGAGTAGGACTTGTAAAGTGCCTGCATGCCAACTATGCCTGCGGAATCCTATGTTTGCAAGCACAAGTGAGAAAATACTGCTTTTCCATTTCACTGTGTCCTTTGGCAGTGAAACTATTCAAAGACATCTGTGCTGTGGGCACATTCACCCTGTGCAAGTGCTGGTTTTTGATAAAACTTTCTGTTAGGCAAGACTTTTGTTCGAGTGCAGTTTCTAAGAAGTCTATTCTGTCATGAGGAGTCCCCTGAGTAGAGTAGCTCCATTTGGGTTTGGTAACTTCTATGATTTAACTGTCCTGCTCCTTCCAATGGCTTGTTTTCCCAGGCAAAATGACTGTCTTCCAGCACTACCACCAGTACTGGGCCCTCTAAACCTGCAGTTAGCCAACAGTATATACTAATGCAGAATTTTCTGGCCAGAAAGACTTCAAGATTGCCTCTAAGGGATGTATTCTTTGAGCTTCGTGTATGACAGTGCTCTGTGGTAGTGAAAGAGTATACATGTTCTCAAAGACTGTGGCAAATGTGCCTGACTGTAATGGCCTGACAACTTTGTGCTGCTGTGTATTGAATTCTCTTTTTGTATTTGTTTGCTGGATTTGTTTGGCATTTTGCAATCCTTACTCTGGAAGCATCATAGATCATCTACTCTCTTCAGGGAGACATTGAAAAATAGTTGTTTCATTACCCACCGAAACCCTGGGGAAATCTAAATACCTTAAAGTTTAAGATGTTTTATTCTTAGATTTCATAATGAAAAATTAATGATATATGGGAAGAAGAAACAGACTTTTCTCTTAAACATTTGTCTTCATGTCTTCCTTGTTTTTTGCATTTTTGCTTATTTGACTTTTTTTAAAATTTTTTATGTCGTCAGTAGCTTCAAAGAACTGCAGCACCAATTGCCCTTTAATAAGCCAGGTGCAGTGTTATGTTAGTTGGTTTTTCTTTCCCCCTCTTTTTCCCAAGCTGCCTGGAAGTCAGACTTTTTTGGTTTTTTTTCCAGTATATTGTATACTATCTTTTAATTTGTTGTATTTAATTTATTCATTATTAGCAACTAATCATGAGAAATAATGGCCTGTATGCTTTCAGTTAGACATTAGAATTATCTACCTTGTTTCAAGAGATAGCTTAATCCCCAGTCTGGGATCGGTATAATATCAGTGATATTTAATGCACACTGAACATGTTTTCTATAAAGTGTTACTGGAAGTAGAGACTTAAATTGAGGAGCTGTTGGTCTTGTACCAACATGACATTTTAGAAACTGAGAAAATATGGCTTGGGAAGAAGGAACTTGTTTTTTGTGCGAAATTTGTGTTGAGGTCTGAAGTATGAATTTCCAAGGGAGGGGTAAAATTATGTTACATGTAAAGTTTATATGTTGTTATGTTGGTGGGGTCAGTGTTTAATAAACAGTGTTTCATGACCTGATCAAAAGTATTGGTTCTATCAGGTATGTCTGTCCAAGAGCTTCCTTGTTATCAACTAGCTCCACTATATTTTCTACTATTTTTCTTCATGCTGGCTTAAGAAGAACAAGCTATATTAAATCTAGTGACTCTTGAGCCAGTTCAGAAACTCCAGATACGTGCTTACACTATACAGCTGTTCTGTTCTGTGGCTGTGTAAATGGAAGGGATGTCTGCTAGAGGCATTTCATTAAAATGCAAGTGATCTTTGTTGGTTAACTTGACATTACAATTATTTTTAAAGAAACTTTTAAAATGAATGTTATTTGTTCCTTTTTGTGTATGCATTTTATTTTTTTTTGTTAGAAAGTCTTGTTGTAAGTATGGATAGAGAATCGTTGATATTTTCCATTTCCATCTTTCCAGCCAAAAAAGGCTGTTTGAGATAACATGGAATGTCTCGTGTAAGTTTTTCATGCTAGTCATCATTGCAGGCAACTTTGTAGTTAGATTGACTGAAATAGATGCCATCTCTTCATTTTTGTGCTAACTGAACATTGATTGCATTGCCTTGAAACTCTGTGGTTTCTTGTATGTCAAAGCTTTTGCGTTTAAACACCTAAATATTAATGTCTGTGGAATAGATTGTTCCCTCCAGGTAAGTACTAAAAACCTTGTGGAACTGAACTTTGGGAGCTGGGGATTGTCTGCATAGAAACCCTTTTTCTTCTTCATTCTATTTACTGAAGTCCAATCCTCTAGAGTTTTGGTGTTGAAGCCTACTTTGGAGACAGAAGTAGTCTTCTCTAGGTGAAAAAAAGTGCATGTGCTAAAGGTAGTACAAATGTATTCCTTTTCCCAGGTAATGTCTGTGTCAGTGAGGTAGCTTCTGTCCTCCTTGGTAGGCTTATTTTTTTTCTCCTTGTAGTTTACACAGACAGGGTTATCTAGGCATGAATTTTGTGGAGTGCAAAATTATTGGGTATAAGGACCAATACAGTTGTTTGCTTTCTTGTTTGCTTTCTTGTTTGCTTCTGTGTCTCTTGCTTTACCAAATAATGAAATGATAAGTCTTCTAACATTCTACTGGTCAGGTTCGGAGTGACCAAAAGACTGTAAAAATTTATTGTACCCAGTATGTGCACCCCCTTGGAAAGTCCAACCAGTGCTTTAAACAATACATTATTAAGCAGTAAAATTCTTCGTAGCCTTGATCTGAGTGGAGGCAGTTTCACCATTTATGCCTAGGTGCACCTCTTCTTCCTCTCTGGTTTTGATCACCTGTTTGAGGCATTATGATCTTGAGCTTCTCAGTATACTTGGGTAGGAACCTGCTTAATCAATGAAGAAACTTTTTTTAATTTCTCAGAACATTCCCCTGTCCTTGTGGCTGCTTGAAGGGCAGCACTTCGATTTTCCATGTTAACCCTATTACTCTGACTTTGTTATTGTTGTATGAAAGTACAACACTGGCAAGTGTATAACTTAAACAGACCCCACAGCTGAACAAGCCGAATGGCTGTTATTACTGCACATCAGACTAAACATTTTTTTTTTTTTTTGAAAGAAAGATGAAGAATCAAGTTACACACTTGGGAGCTGTGCTGTTAGGTATCTTTTACTGAAACAGAATTTTTTTTTTTTTTTTAAAGAAATCTTGTTTCACATAACTGTTCTTTGGTTCTCCAGGGTTTTTAAAACTGGTATCATGCTTTAAAGTTTTCTTCTATGTTTTGAGGGATGACACTCAAGAATTCAAGGTAGTTTTATAAAACACATTCTTGGTGAGTCAAGTAAACTTTCTATAGAGCAAGCTAATGTTGTGTTTCCTGAGCTGTTGTTTTGAAAACAATATATTGAGACTGAGTGTCCTTTCTGAGGTTATTATTTCAACTCCCACACCCTCGAAGAAACAACAACAAAGAAACCCCCATGCATTGCCAAACATTATGAGTGCAATATGGAACCTTTTGAATTTACTGAAGACTTCAAATTCCTCATTACCATATAGCATAAAATTTTTAATGAGTCTGGAAAATCAGGTATCACTTCAGACATTGAGGGCAGATTTTCAAAATGGTCAACAACCAAAATACACACGGTATGTCAGGTTCTGATCAGATTCTGATTGCTGAGTGCTTCTGAAATCCTCTCCTGTAAGATACAGTAGATTAACTTGGGATCTGCACAGATGAGACCTTTTGGACTTGCTCTGGGGCTTATATATTGTCCATTTACATTTTTGAGGTTTATTTATACTTAATGTTTCTTGCAGCCTTCCTGGTCATGACTTTGTCATCAGAGAGGCTGATTATTCACCTGAGTAATAGGCTGAACAAAATATTTATTGCCTAGTCTGAAGCTTGACAATTTCTATGTTCAAGCTGGTGGTAAAGGTGAGATAGAAATAACTTCCTAAGTAATTATCAGATGAGAGGTTCACCTACAAAGTGAGAGTTGGCTACAGGTAGATGCCTCAAAGCATAGTAAACTAGTTCTGGAGAATGGAACTAATTGAGGATGGAAAGATGTTTACACGTCTACCAAAGGGACTGGGTTGAGATGGCTGATCAGGTTTATCAGGTTAACCCAGATAAACCTGTATCCCAAGCATCCCAATTCAAAATACATCTTGGGACATTAAATTCCTGGGCTGTATGGGTACTAGTGTGCCTGCAGGACAGCTTCGTACATTATGCGCATCCTCAGCAGGAATGCTGAGTGGTGCTGGCTCTGTCTGAGTTTGGGTCCAGATGGGTCTGGCTTACCCAGTTGCTGAAGTACAACAAATTAAAGCCCCATTCTCAGTGAGACTGCAATAGTTGTGCGCACTGGTGACAGCAACAAAAACTTTATTTGTATCAACAGGGAACAGTGAGGTCAGGCACAAGATGTTGGAACTATTAATACATTTTTAAGTGCTGAGAATGACAAATATTTTGTTAATTCTGGGAGACCTGAATACGTAGCTTATGCCAGGGTCTTCTTTGTGATACCATTCCCAGTTAAAACACAAAAGCTTGCCTAATTTAAGTAAAAGAATTACTGTGGTGTTGAGAGTAATTTCTTCTACTAGTTTGCCCACCTCCTAAAGGAAAACTGGTGTTTTGCAGAGGCAAAGTAGTTGGTTGCTCCAGAGCAACACAAGCCCACTGGATTTGGTAGCCCTGAAGTCCTGAAACCAGTGAGTTCAATGTTAGTGCGGTTTAACTATGTAAAGTCTCAACATTTTAAAGTCTGGATCTTTATCAGTTCTGCTCCACACAAACATAGGTTTTGTGGACTCCTGATTTCTGTGAATGTTGAAGGATGAAGTATTTTAAGGTAAAAAGGCAGCTCTTATTTTATGTCTGACTGAGCTGGCTTCCAGAAGCTCTGTGGATGGAGTTTAGGACGGGTGGTTAGTAGTGCTTCCGCCCCATTTGGGAGGAGAGAGGGGCTGTCTGTTTTAACAAAATCTTGATGTGAATTCCTATCAGTCTGATTTGTGGATCATAGAACTACAGTAACCGTATGGGGAGACTAAGGTAGTAAATTAAGATCACTGTGTCAATATGTTGGTGGTGTAAATAGTGTCATTAATCTATCAGTTTTGATACTTTGAGATAATAAAGTAATTAACTGGAAAGTTCAACGGTAGGCAAAATTTGTTAATTTTGTGTTGCAGCAGATACACTTTCAGCACGTGCAAAGAAAAGCCATTGAGGCCTTTGTGCATTTGAAGTCACATTGTTGCTCTGGGTTGCTTGTTTTTACTGTTAAAATGGATCTACTTCACTGAGATAACATTTTTTGTCAGTCTACCATTCATTGAATAGATGCTGAATAGGTTGGGAACTTCAGCTGCACATACCTCCTCACCACCTTTTTATCCATTAAGTTGCCTTTGACCTCGTGTAGCCTGTTGTACTGATGCTTGATTTTTGGAGTAGTTGCATACTTTGATGGAAAATGACAAAGACTATGTTAGCATATTCTCTTCTGCCCTGCCCCCCAAATTCTGGGCTCAAGTAACTCTAAAAAAACCCAGGATTTTTAATTCTAGCGAAAGTGGTGCCATCAACTTCTTTATGAAATGGTAGTTTCTAATCTTGGCCATGAAATTGATACCTTCCTTATTTGATATGGACATACCACTTCTTACAATAAAAAAATTTCTTTTATTTACCTCACATTCAGATACCAACATGCCTTTTGTGTCCAAGCTTGTTTTTCTTCAAAGCAGTTGGATTGTTCACTAAAGTAACATTTAATCCTTTTTGGAAATTAAATCTATTTCTCCTGCATTTTAGTGCACTTCATTTCCAATACACACTCCAATCAAGGGTCAAAGACAACCCTGGTGTAAATCTACTGAGTTCAGTGTGGTTACCCTAGAGATTTATTTGGCACTGCTTATTTGGGATATGGACCTATAAAATGCTGAGTGTCCTCAGCTCTCATCACTGTCAGCACCTTGTCCACTCATTTCCTTATGCTGAGTTCTTGCAAGATTTTTGAATAGTCTTACAGTAGTTAGCTGTGAAAACTAATAGATAAATATATGTGCATTCCTAAACACTTGAGTTTTGTTTCCTTTAAGCTCACAAGTAGGACACTCAAGCCAAAAGAAATAAAGCAGAATTTTACCATTAAGTACTTGCTTTTTGAGTTACATCAAGATCTTCCATCAGAAATGCAAATGAGCGTCTTCACCCTTGGATTACCTGCGAGGGTCAAATCTGGATGACCACACCTCATATAGGTGTAAATTAGTTTCGAGTGTCTTTATAATGGAGGAAGGTGATCCTCCCCCTTAGTTTCCCAGTGAAAACTGCATTTCCTTTTGTATGCCTTTCTTTTGTGCTGCCTTTTGTTTAAGGGTTGTTTAAGGTATTTCTGTGCTCATCATGTAAGGTACATTGTGTCAGGTAGCTGCTATACAGGGGTAATATTAGAACTTGACCCAGCTTATCTAGGTGCAAGAAACCATTTTTTTTTTCTTCCAGAACTCACTGAAGTGGGAAGCTCTTTTCTGAGGTCAGTATTGACCTAATATGGGAACAGGGTTTAGTATGACAGAGTTTTCATTCTTTAAGAAATGAATTACAAACCATAAGGTAATTGTCAATGACTATGCAGAAGGTGTCTGAAAACCTTGTTCCTTCTTTGGTCCCTCCTGCCAGTGGCATTAAAGAGAATCCTGTCCTTCATATTAGTTCCGAGAGGGCAAAAAATTCCTGTAGATGAAGGCATTAAGGATCGTTTGACTGCAAATTTCATGGTTTGTATGTATTATCAACACTTGTAGATATAAAACACAAAAGGACACTTCTTTGTGGCCAAAGTTTATGATTTCATAGCTTTTATAAGTGTAATTTCACTCCTCCTTCAAAAACTGTGGTAGAAGCAGAACTTCTCACTGTGGTTACCTTCATGTGTTTTGCTAAGTATGTGTATTTTTGAGGTGGTTTTCAAACACTTGAAGGCATTAACTAGTGCACATGAACAGCAGTTACCTGCCTACTGTGGCACAAATGCGCATTATGGCATGCACTGTGCTTTGTTTTGCATGCAGCTATTTTTGGAGGTTTGTAGACAGTCCTAGTAATTATTTACACATGTTAAGGATATGCACTTGTGTTATGTGCCCTGTGAAAAGCTATCCTGTTGTCTTTCTGGTTGAATGATGCTGCGTGGTTTCGGACACTGATGGCAAGCACTGGCTGTCTGCAATGTATAGTGTTGAAATTCAGCACTATGTGGGTTTTTTAATGATGGTGTGGTAGGGGTGGGAAGGCAGGAAATTTAGTTATAATTTCTCTTTTCTTGGAAAACTATATAGTTGTCTTCCTCTCCTTTTAATATTAAATACCAACAATAATTTCTTGTCATATCTCAGATCAGACTCCTACACCAACACGCTTTCTGAAGAATTGTGAGGAAGTGGGCCTCTTCAACGACATCGACTGCTCCCTAGAGCACGAGTTTAGGAAGGCACAAGAAGAAGAAAACAACAAAAGGGTGAGTGTGAGCACACTGAACCCTTCCTGCCCTTCTGATTCCTTGAAATGTCCTTTAATCTGTGTGAACGCAGATTGAGCTCTACTACCTGGTAGTAACCTTTTGGTTAGAAACTAGGTGGCACTATACATTGTGACATGCTTTTTAAACTATTGAAGCAGTTGACAGAAATGAAACCCCCAAACCAAAAAAAAAAATCCCAGCATTAAATTTCCAAAAGTGTGTACCTTGTTTGCCAGGGTTTGATTCCAAGTTTCTGCTTTTAAGTAAACTCTAACGCAAACCACACACCTCTTGAGGGAGAGGCTTGGGAAAATTATATCATCTTTGAAGTGAGGATTTCAAACTTACTCAAACATATTATAGGGAATTGTGGATTATGAAGGAGCATTTAGTTAAGAGCAAAATTTTTTTCTTTTTTTTTTTTTTTTATTCTATTCCTCCACTATTTGATGGGCCTCTGGATTGATTTGTCATCGCTACCAACTTTACTATGTTTCTGCATTTCTCATAGTCATGTTGAGTGGGGAAATTTTGACTTCAAATACCTAGTAGATAATGTCTCCCATTTCCAATTAATGTTCTTTTGGTCCCAGTATTGCTAAATTTTTGTTGAATTATATAGGCCACTTTGTATGGGGTTAAGGGTACTTCTGTACCCAAAGGTTGTTCGAGTATTTTGAGGGATCCTAAAGCACTGTTAAAATTTTCAAGTAATTGTAAAAGAGCTTAATGCACTACAGAAGCCAGCAATAAGTAATGCATGAAATTGTAACTTTTCTAATAATATCTAAAGTTCTGGTTGCTTGTGAGAACGAAAACATGAGCAGTGCAGGGCTTCCTACTGGAGCATATTGCACCCTGCAACGTTCCAACAATCAGCCTAAATGCCTCCCCTTCACAATGTTCCCTTTTGTGGCTCTGTTTTCCCTTCTCCCATCTCAGCAGCTCTTGGAAATTCTTGTGTAATGTGTCCCCTGTCATAGGAATTCCCCGGTTATTGAACACTGTGTTACTTAGTTCTCACGGTAATCTGTGTTTGTCCAAATTGAACCTTAACTGGGACTAAAAGCAGGAAAAGGTTGCCACGAAGCAGCTACAGTGCTTTAGCCAGAGGACACTTCTCCTTTGCTTGCCTCAGCATTAATTTACCTTTCAGATTGTCTGTGCCTCCAATGACAAAGGGTTCCTCTATAGGTACACCCTCTTACAGCTGCTGTATTATCTCATTTGCTTTGACTGTTGGTGGTTGCTCTCCAACTCAAAATTCATCCCTGCAAGGTGTGTATGTGCTGCTGGGGCTCATTAAATTTGGAAGTAGCAGCATTTAGGGATCTTGAGGTCTGCAAAGTAAAGGCCCAAGAGGGGCTTTTGCAGAAGAAAAGCAGTGTAAAACTGCTTGCTGAGGTGCAGAACAGGAAAAGAGGCTTGTAGAAAGAAGATGTGAAGGGAATCTAGAGATGTTTTGGTTTTGGCTTATAGGGAAAGAAGTCTAGAGATGGTTTATTTGTGGCTCATAAGGAAAGAGATTGGGACAGATAGAGGAGGAGAGAGGCTGTGTCTTGGTATGCTGAGCAAGGCAGAAGAGTGTCCAAATATGAGAGAGTTCAAGTTTTGGTCAAGTATTGGGAAAATAGCCCAGACTAACCCTCACAGCTTTGTGTGTGGGACAAATATTAGGAAACAGCCTGTATTGAGATAAATAGGTCTAATTTTAGATTTAACTTACAAACTTAGTGGTTAAAGTGCTGCAGGCAGGAGTCGTAGCTAGAATCAAGGAGAGCGTTTCTGTACATTCTTACTTCTTTGTGCATTAGAGAATTCCTAAGCAGCTCTTTCTGCATGGTGTTTATTCTGCAGGAGTGGGAGATGAAATCTACAGAAGTGGACCTTTGTGCAGTTAGCCACAGATTGCAACGCTTGATGTTTCATTTTAGCTTACAAGGGGTAGTTGCACAATCTGATTAAAACCTAGACAAGGGCATCAAGTTACCTGATAATTCCAGCTGTTTAGCGGTCTCTGGGACTCTTATTCTGCCCTCCTTCTACCAACCCCTGCAGCTGCCATTGCTGATGGTGAGGGAGCAAAAAATTGATGGTGGGGGTGGGGGAAAAAAAAAAAAAAAAAAAAAAAAAAAAGAAAAAAGGAAGGTGTGAAAAAAGAAAAAAAAAGAAAGGAAAAAAAGAAAAAGGGAGCACAAGTCTCACTAGCTGGCTAACCTGTAACATTTGCTCTGTGTTTCCAATTAGTCTGCTGTATGTTCATTCTTACATTACCGACTGACTGTCAGATAGGAATCTGAAGCGGGTCCCAGTAGGGCTTTACACAAGTGCAAGAGACAAAGGCCAAGACAGAAGGGAACTCCTCAGGCTGCAGCTATCCCTAAGGAAATGCTTCTCACAGCCTGTCCCTGGAATATGAGTGCTATGTAGCATTGGCCTAATGGACTTGCTAACACATGGAGACTAAGGTTAACTGCATGGAAATCTTACAACTCAGAAAAGTCTTGTGAAAATATTTTTGGTTATATTAATTTCTCTGGATTCTGAAAGAAACAGCTTTGTTTATTTTAGTATATCACTGTGGCTTAGCACACAGCTTGACTCTGAAATCTTGTAAGAGAAAAACACTTTCGGTTTTTCTTGGGCTTTTTTTCTCCTTGAGAGTCATAATTTGAAAACTCAGAGAATAAAGTTCATTAGCTGCTTTTTTTTTTTTAAATCTTCTGAGTGAGAACCCATGGATAATCCATGAGAATTTGTTGTGATGAAGCTAGTTTTGAAGACTGGTGACATTCCAAATCAGCTGTGAAGCACTGAGTGCATGGTTTTAGGAACACCATGTGTAAGCGTTTTTGTAAAGATAGTACTGAGGAGAAAGCACTTCCATTAATATCCCAGCTGCTTGTCAAGGAAGAAATCAGTTGACATCTTTATGCCATAGTTGCTCATGTGTAAAATGGTAGTAGTGCCAATTTCTGCCTCCAATACTTGATATGTCTTGTGATTGCAAGCTGATCTGTCAAGGACTATCTCTGAAAATATATCTGGATTAGCCTTTGCTCGGGGACTGAGTGGACTCAAGTAATAATAATGATGATTTCTCGGACCTGAACTGAACTAAGAAAAGTAAAGCTACAAATAGAAGTGAGATTGTCAGTTTTGTTTGGCTCCTCTGGCTCCTATACCACCCAATATTAGCTGTAAGTCTCTGCTTGAGAAAGGCCTACTCCCTAAATGTAAGAGATGCATTATTTAGCAATAAGCATATTCATAAACATATGAGAAAGAGGCTTTTTGCATACTCTTGATGGCTCTCTTCCTGACATAAGCGTCCTACCTGCCAAATTCACCACCAAAATTAGCACAAGTAAAAGCTTACCTATAGTATATTTCTACTTGGAGAAGTGTAAATATTAGAGCTCTTAGGGGCTTGAGGTGGACATCAATTGACATATTGGCCCCAGACAAAGTTTGCAACCCAACTCAACAAGACAGGTAGTGCTGGCAGATTAGATGACTGTCTTAGCCTGCTAGCTGCTAAGGTTTATACTGCTGGGAACATTTAAGTATCTAAAGCATTTGTAATGGGTTATACTTGCAAGCACATGACCTTTGCTGCTACTGGACAAGCCCTGATGTCACATCTTGTTTTGAGCACTGAGTTGGAGCTGAGAGGATAATGTAAAAGATGGGAAGAGTTAGGATCTGTTTCTGAATAACTAATTGGATCTGCTTAATTAAAATGCATCTAGCCTGACCTCCCTGCATGAAATAAGAAAGAGTGGAAATATACTGAGAGTAGCAAGTAGTATTTACAAATATTGAATATTTTCAACATGAAGGTGTTTTTACAATCATTCTGCTTATGCTAGAATTTGGATGCATCACTTCCTGAGGCTTATCCTGCAGCTTTGAAATCTTCTAACCAGTGTTCAGTTCTATAAGTTAATATGTAAATTTTGCAAATAAGGCAGGGAAACAGCTATTCTCAAGGGAATATCTCATGGCTAGCAAGTCCTCTCTGTGGCTTAATATTCCTGTTCTAAGTATACTACCCCACTGCAGGCACCTCACTGCTAGAAAAGCATCAGCAAATTGAAGTAGTCCAGTAAAGAAAAAGAATAAAATCAAACACAGAGCCTTTGGTGGTTAAATAAGTTCAGTCTACAGAAGGATTAAAGAGCCTGAATATCCAGTTTAGTTGTGTTAAGCAAGGAGGACCTGTAACTGTAGTGGCCTGTTGAATACCACAGTCCAATGTGTGTTTGAAAGACACAAACTTGGGTTTTACCTTTTAGGTTCTCGTTCTACCAGCATAAAAAAGTAGATAAAATACATTTGCCTAACTTATACCATCTCATGATTTCATGCTGAACTCAGTGACTCTATGACCTACAGAAAAGAATTCTTGCAAGTTTGTTTTTTTTTAAAGGAAACCTCTACAATGCAACAAGGAGATAAAAAGTAAATACCAAATCAGTGCCTTTAAATTCAGTGGAATAGAAATGCCCAGTAAGCATTTCTTGTGTTGGACAAACTTGGTGGGTTTCACATATGAAGATGTAAGCATTCTCACACCATAGCTTTTTTTCTGGGTGATGCACTGAAGTACTAGAAAGATACACTATAACTCTGTATCAGAGTTTTTCTGAGGGTTATTTTGAGTTTTCGTATACATTCATTGCACTAGGTTATTGATCTTTTTTTTGGGTTCATTTTTGTTTTGTAACACCCCCTTTTTCTTAATTAAAATAGCTTTTGCAGCATTCCTATGGAGAAGGTAAATGCTTTGTCTCTTATTTTCTAAGGAAAAACAGATTCCAGAGGATGTTGCTTTCCAAAGCTCCTTTGGAGTGTGACACCAAGCTGTTGAAGGAATCACAGGCTCAGAGTGAGAATTGCAGGGGATCTGAGTCCTCTCCACTGTTCAGCCAAGAAAGCAGCTTTCTGTCTCTTTTGATTCCTAAATATCTTTAGTAGCATGGCTCCAAAAGATT